AATGTTACTTCACAGGTTTTTCCTCAAGATAATTATCAGGGAAAGGCTGTTAGTGTTTAATACTTGGTTATGCTGGAATTAATATGGGTTTCTGAGCTGTCTGTGTTTTTTGAGGTTCCTATTGTGTTGAAGATTAGAGCCTGTGGTTAGGGTGACAACTAGCAAAAACCCAGTAACACAATTTGATGCTTTATTTAAAAGGAAATGAGTGTGAACACTTCAGAACAGCGAATGTCTCTTTGCTAAACAGTAAAACAGAAGCTAAGAAAGCTAAATTGTTAGCTAGAAGCAAATTTGAGTTGCACTTGTACATTTAAGAGGAATTCAAATGTAATATTTTACTATGTGGACTGCACAATGTATGTTTTCAGCATTGATATCGTATTGCATGTATTTGCAATAGTCACGTCGCAGGATTAGCAATTTGGATTTACCATTAAAACTAAAAAGCTCTTATTTTGTGTGTCCTTGCTCTACTGTATTTATTAATGCTTGCTATTGGTTCATAGTTTATGTAAATGCTCTACAAAATTTTTTCAATTACTCTAAAATAATGATTTTTTTCTAAATAGAGCCGTTGGAATCATCTGGTGAAATTATACTCAGTATCGCTTTGTGTATTGCCGTTACAGTACTATATTTTTAAACGGTTTAAGATAATCTGTTTCTTCTCATTTCTTGGAGTTGCCTTAATTTGTCATATTTATGTGCTTGTGTTTGTTACATATCTTTAGATAATATTATTTATACAACAGTTCTGTCTGGTTCTCGAATCTGAATGGCAGATAGCTGTCTGATATTTTGCAATATCAGAACTCTTACAGCCTCTTCACCCTTCTGTCTTAATCCACCTACACAGTGTGACAGCAGATCAATAAACTCACTACAGTTTGACAAATATTGCAGCTGTTGGACAACATAATATACTTTTGAGAGTTTTTAGGTGAGAATGTGGTTGTTTAGATTGCATCTATGCAGTTTATTTATAAGGATAGTGCCTATTTTTGTCTTTGAGCAGACCAAAGATGGTTGAAGTTCCGCCACAAGATGATGGCAGAGAACGCATAGTAAGCATTTAGAGGGAAAAAAAAGATTGGCGTATTTTCAAACTACAGCTGATCAAAACATAAAATTGATGAGTGACCTTCTCTCTCTTTTGTATGTAGTAGTGCTGTATTTATACCGTAGGTATTGTAGTGTATTGAGTGTGAGACGGGACTCACATATCAGGAATGTATGCATTTTGTGTTGGCCACTCTTTGTATAACCCTGAATTACTTTTTGCTTGGCCATCTGTTTGTTTCTAATGAATCTCATGTTTTCGTTACTGCTAGTTACTAGTTCAGTAAAATGAAAGAAAAAAGAAATGCCTGCAAGTGTTTAAAATTTTTCCTTATCGCAAAAACAACAGTAATCTGGTAGTGTTTGTGCTGCTTTGGCTTTTTCGGGGATAATTATTGTGATCTGATTGCAGCAGAGAAATACTGGGAAATCTCTGTAGATTGATGGCATTTCTTGTTGTTCAGCCTTATAATATTAAAATGGGAGCAACAGTCCTCATTTTAGACATTAGGCAAGAAAATCTTTCAATACTTGCTCTAAAGTGACGTTGGTGAAGTAGCAACGGTTTCTGCTTTTTCGACGTCAGCTGCAGATGTTTATGAATGGGAAGAACGTAGTTCCTCATACAAAATGGTTTTAAGACTCTCTTGTTTGATTTTCTTTTTTATACACACGATTATGCTGTCGAACTGTTGTATAAGCGCAATATCACATGAGTAGCAGTGCGATAAGGTTGTATATCATCACTGGTGAGACACTTTCCATTCATTTTAAATGGGTGACATCAGGCGTTGCCAAAATGCATTGTGGATCCATCGGCACCGCTTTAGAGGCGTTGCTTGCTGCAGAAGTTGAGACTTGTTCAACTTTTCAAGCGCCAAAGGAACCGTCAGCCAATCAGATGCCTTATTGCAAATACACCAGCTCAGACAGTGGCCTATTGCTGACTAATTTAATTGGCTGACGCGATCATTATAGCAGTGTCAGCCAATTTAATTAGTCAGCAATAGGCTACTGTTTGAAATGGTGTATTTGCAGTAAGCGACCTGATTGGCACGGCTTCAGACACGCCTTCAGTCAAGCATTGATTCTGAAGCCCCGTGTGAATGGGGCGTAAGGCCCAACTCCCACCAGTGCCGAAATCCAGCCATATCACACTGCTACTCATGTGATATGCTCATGTATAATATGAAGTTGTGTCTGTGATTAAATAACATTTGCGCCCCAACATTTTTATTCAGTTGTCCCACTGATTTACTGTACCTGAATGAACAGAAGCAGGAGTCGGCTGAGCTCTTGCTCTCTTTGTTCTGGTGACTGTTGGTTTATAGTATCCAGCTGAATTAGCTGCTCTCTCAGAACCTCCTCTAGATCATTGTCTTCTTTCAGGTCCTCATTTTTATCACTGTTGATTTGGCTGGCTTTCAGTTCTATGCTCTCTGCACTCTCCCCTGATGCGCTGAGTTCCCCATTCTCCTTACTGACTCTGTCCATTTCCGCATCCGGCTCCTTTAAAAAATAAAAATAAATAAAATTACACAAAGACACTTACTGTCGATACAGATAAAACATCTCAAAACATTTACTGGATCTTCAAGAATGTGCCACGAAAACAACCTTTTTAGATTTTTATCCATCAAATTCTTCCCAAAAGAAATATCTGGGCTACTACAGTACAGATCTTTAGGGTACTTGGTCAGTACCATAACTTTAAGATAAAACACACTCTCTTGAGTTATCTAAAACTTTTAAACATATTCATTATTAAAATCTCATGCAAAATCGTAGAAAAGGAAATGTTTGACAATGAAATACTGATCTTTAACTGCTTTCCTTCAATTGCCAAATCACAGCAGTAATTCAGTGGGTTTTCCTGCATCTTACAATCAGCTGTTCACACGTTAATGTGATCTTGTGATGTCAAGATGTGGGCTTGTTTTGCTACAGGGAGGACAACTTGCATTCCAGAATAAATGACATATTTGCACTGCACAGTCCCTCACTAGTTTATTCATTCACTATCTAAATACAACACTTGAATGTCATCTTCTTATTTTATTTACAGCCTTAACAGCAGTAACGTTTCTTGACGCTCTTTAGCAGTCGCCCTGGCTCTTATGCAATGAAATCTGACCAAACAAATCAGTTGGATGGCAAACAAATGAGGCTTATGAAACACTTAGCTAAAATCAAGCAAGCTTCCTTGTTTATCTCTACCTTTAAGTTGAGTCTCCAGGTGACAGAACAGGTTTAAATGCACTTACAGTAAAACACTCACGCCCCAAAATAAACGGCGACCTCTCAAAATAAAGCTGTCAACATCTGATGTTTGCATATGCAGTATAAAGGAATTAACCATTGAAAGTATTATGTGATACTTCAGTTCAGTATGCTCCAATCTAAAACGTACCTGTTGTTTAGTAGGTGGCATCTCAAGTCATTGACAAGGCTTGTGTACGTCGTTTTATGGCTGGACAGAAGGCTTTCCTCTGGCTTCCCATGTCACAACAACGCTCGGTGAGTGAATGGCCAGTTCATACATGCCTCCTAATCTGCCTTATCCACACCGGCTGGCTGAACTTTGCACAATGTGAAACTCTGACATCAGCTGCGCCTGGTCATGTGCTTCACTTCCTAGTAAAAAAAGCAGAAGTATTTTCAAAGCGCACATATGTGCGTGTGTTTTCCACACAGCAGAAGATCAACAGGGCTGCATTAGTTGTATTATTCCAAAATGAATATTCTAAATCGACCAATCAAAAAAAAAAAAAAAATTGTCTGAGGAAATGTAGATAGTGTCTATGCCCTCTGGTGTTTAAAGTGATTCTGATAATTGACAGAGCGTAAATAATTCAAACAAAGAGCAATGGCGACATCTTGTGGTGAGTTGAGATATTACAAAAAATATTATATAGAGAGGATTTTAAATAGGCTATCTGGGGTCCAAATATGAAAAAGACACAATGGAGTCCGTAAAAAAAGTAAAAATGTAAATTAAATTAAAAATTCAGAGAATTAATCGATTTATTATATAAAACTAATAATGTCACAAAAAATAAACACTAAGATAAAAGTAAGTGAAACCCCAAGCAATAATAAAACAGTTTTATCAATGCCTAGTTACAAATACATTCATTATTTTTTTTAAGAACAGTTAAAAATTAATGACTAAACGAAATAATAGCTTAAATATGTATACAATATTAGAATATCTTTTACCATGTGATTTTAAGATTACTGATCTGTTGATCAAGATGCTATTTTTTGTTTCAAGTATAAAAGGCCCTGATTTGACTCCATAGGTTAAATTATCTGAGAATGGGATTTTGGTTGGTTTACTTCAGCACAAAAAAAAAAAAAAAAACAATACCAGCATGCGTTCTGTCTTGCATGGTCAGGAACAGATGTAAAAAGATGTGTTACAGGACAGACATAAAGACAGTACGAGCCACATTAGTCCGACAAAAAGGTAACATAACTTTATGAAAAACTTGCTAAAATAAACATGTAACTTAGAAATTGTTTCAGCTTTTTTATTTTACATAGGTTGTACTTTAAATGGCGGTTCATTCCGCTGTGGTGACCCCAGATTAATAAAGGGACTAAGCCGAAAATGAATGAATGAATGAATGAATGAATGAATGAATGAATGAATTTACTTTAAATTTGACGCTAATACGGAAACAGGAAATAAATAATGGGCGGGTATTACCGGCGGAAGTTTTATGTAATTAACGTTACCCAGGCAACTGAATCTTTATTTATTTACTTACTTTTTAAAAATATATTTTAATAAGAAATTTCATTTTTCAATGGCGTTAATCAATAAGTTAGTTCTTATAGACGTCTGCAGAGGAGTGAAAACACCGAATGCATTTCTAATGGAGAGTACTTTGGGCCACTAAGCATCCACTAGAGGACATTTAAGGTATTACATACATTCTGTCGATTGGTTGAATCCACCCACAGAAGGCGGGGCTTTCCTCAAATCAGATCTGTATATTTACATATTATCAGATTGGCTGTTTTGTCGGATCGGATGATTGATTATCTAACGGTATTATAATGGACCGAGACCTATTGGCTGCAGGAACCTAACAAAATTATTCAAATATCATTAAATAATGAATATCTTGCACTTAGCCATGGGTTTCTTCGGCCGAAAGAAGGCGTAAATGAACGGTTGGCAGAATGCTGCAGGTTTCAGGAAGTTGTATATTTGAATCGGTTCAGCGGGGTGAGATCGATCGAGTTTCCCATTTATTACAGCAGGATCGAGGAGTCCTGAAACAAAAAGGTGAGAGTTGTGTTTTAAAGATGGAAGAAGCTGTTCCACAGTAACAGATGATAATGGAAGAGATCGTACTGATCCGCTGGTTAACATTTCACTTTCTTCTTCCTCATCCTGTTCACTTCATTTTTCTAACGTTACTCTTATCACCAACATATCGTTTACTTTATTGTGTATTTCTGAACTTATGTGCTATTTTAACAGTTTGAGTCTGTTTCTACCACCTGTTACACCTAATACATTTACATTTTTATTTGGAAAAAATACTCGGCACAGCATACAGAATAATGTTATTTTTCTTAATTGTAATAATAATAATATATTTAAAACAGAAACAAACAGTTTAGTTTGTATAAACTGTTTATATATATATATAATTACTGAAATATGATCAGTCATAAGAGAATGAAGGCAGTGCTGATTCAGATTCTCTGTAAAATTTTCTAAATGATGAGTGTAGTTAAAGTCAGCCATTGTTTAGCAAGTAATTACATAATTGTTTCAGCATAAAGTACATTTTGTTATGTTAATATCTTTTAAAATGTAAATAAAAAAATAACTATTTTGATTATGCAGGTATAGAATGGTATAAAAGTTGATTGGTTATTCACTAATTTCTTTTACAACTATTTTAACATGTTAGCATTTACTGAATTAGTTAAGTTACAGACATAAAAAAATTATCAAAATATTCAAGATCATATCATGTTTTATAATGAAATGCTGGCTAAGATAATGTTTCAGCGTTGTATTTATTTGTTTTGTTTCATACTTGCTCAGACTCCACTGTTTTCCCATCAAAATTATGTCACTTGCTGTTAAAATATGTCATATAGAAATGCCTTTTGTTGTTGCCTAAACAAGGAAACTAGATCAAAAGTGAAAATTAGGAAAATCCTATCCAATTATAATTACAAGTAAAATGGTATTCCATAGAAAATAGTTTGCTTTAAATTGAAGAATAGGAAATATAAAGATGTATTTAAATATATCTTCATAACATTTACCCCTAATTTTACTTAATATTATATATGTCTTTAAAATATATCATTTTAATTATAAGTTTAATACATTATTAACAGTATTTAGACATACTAAATAGGTAGGAATCACCGCTATTAGTTCTATTTGGTTTCTCAATATATATTAACTATACTATCAGCCAGCTCTTTGTGAACAGTTGTGCATCAGCATCATGAAATTCTGTAATGTGAAAGGACTTGACTATACATTTTTATGACTAATGATAAATACAGATGACATTTGATAAATGTCTTGTAAACCTCTCCCCTTTTGCCAGGTTGGGGAGGTTTTACAGCCCTACACTTTGCTGCTCTGAATGGAAATCGTGCCGTAGCTGAACTTCTATTGAACAGTGGTGCTGATCCAAACATCCCTTGTGATGCAGGACAAACCCCTTTTCACTTTGCTTGCAGGTACAGTAGCTCCGGCCCTCCTTTAGCTGATGTTTGTGAATTTAATTACAACATCCATCACAAAATATTGCTTCCTCTAAAAGATAATAACGGCGGTTTCCTATGAATAGGGCTTACTGTACTGTGTTATTACTGTGTTACAGAAATGGCAATATTTATATCATGTACAAGATGATGCAGCAAGGTGCAGATTTACGCATAGCAGATGAGCAAGGGAAAACAGCTCTTCATTATGCAGTCAGTGGGGGAAGTGTGTAAGTATCTGTGCCTTTTACACTGGTGGCAGCAAGGTGTCTGTGGGGTCTTAAAAAATATTAAACGTTGATAAATCAATGTAGAGAAATTTGAGGGCCTTAAAAAGTCTTGAATGCTATTTTGCAAGGTATTAAATTTTAGATTATTTTATAATTTGCAATGTATGTGTAATCACGGGGAGTTATACAAACAACTGAGGTAAGATCCACAATGCAGGTTTATTCGTCGTCAGGCAAGCAAAGGTCAGCACAGGTGCAAACAGATATTTACAGGCAAATCCAGAATCGTAGTCAATATAACAATCGAAAGGCAGGCGGCAGACAGGGATAACTAAATAAACAATGCTAGGTAAGTACACGGGAAAACAAGGCTAGGAAAACGCATTTTGTAATGTCATTGTGACAGATAACAAGACTCATCAAACTGAATAGGTGAGTTTGTGGCTTAAATAGTGTGTGCAATTAGTCTCTGACAATCCTCAAGTGGTGCGAGTAATCAGTCTAGATGAGAATGCATGTGTGAGTGTGACCGGAGTGCATGTATGAATATGTAGTCCAGAAATTTCGGAATTGTAGTCCATGAGTTATAGTTAGTGAAATTCAGCGATCTTTTGAAAGACGATCGCTGGTAATCGTGACAGTATGGTTGTATGCTAAAGTTTGCCTAAACTAAATCTGCAAATATCAGGATGCTGTGTAGTTTATGAAATCCATTAAATCCTACTAGATTTGACATCATGCTGCTTTGTTTACTGCAGTAACCAAGGCAACCCCATTATTTCTGTAGCTCTATAGGCACCAACTTGCTGAATTAGCTAGATTTAATAGATTTTTATTCAGGATATGAATAATGTTTTAGTTTTGGATTTGTTTCTTAAATTAATATTCAGTAAATATACTGTAAGTTAAAATCTAGCCTGTGTTTTCAGTTGAAATTTAAAGTGGTTTTAAGGTCGTAAAATGTATGGAGAGAGTCTTAAAAATTTCTTAAAAGGTATTGAAAAGGTATATTCACTCTCTGATTCCTGTATTTATTCTGGGCAGACAAAAACTCTAAATCAAAAAGCATTCACAAGGAATATTTCATATTTTGATGCACAATATTGGAAAAACCTAGCATCGCGATATTTTGTTATTTTTCGATATATACTGTGGTAAGAATATAATTTCACCACATGACTTAAACATCTCTATTTGAAAATTAATACAGTTTGATTGTTTAGGATGATTCTGTAGGGGAGTTCATCTTTTGTAGGGTTGTCGCGATACCATTAATTAATCTTATGATACTATACCATCTGAAGTATCACAACACCAAGTAGTATTGCGATACTGTAATTCATAACTCATATTATTATGAAAATTGTCAGAAATACTATATGTTAAATGTTATAATAGGTCTACTTGAATTTAATTCATAATTCCCTTATTATTGAAAAAAAAATTTATTTGCATGTCACTTCACCTAAAATGTATTCATTCTTTTTTTTATTTTGTAGATAACTAACCAACAAAAATACATTAAAATAAATATAAAAATTATACCAAATTAAAATTGTTACAAAAAGAGAAATTTTCCAACAAAATTAGGCTATATGAAGTTGTCAAAAATTGTTGCAATATTTGCTTTTTTTATTTTTCATCTATTGTTTTTTTTTCAGTCTTATCAGGTAAGAATTTCACTTTGTGCGTCATTCTTTTTAAGAGATTTACACAATAGTTGTAGCTACTAAATAATATTGACAGGAACAGAAATGAACCGATTCAGATGTGCGTTCAGAAAACAGAAAATGTGCAACCGTAAAGGGTTCCACAGACTATTTAAATAAAATGGTCTGTTGTTGCACAAACATGTAAGCATTATAGTAACTTTTTCACATGCAACATTATCGATTGTAGATAGACCATCAATGATGATACTACCGTTTACAAACTACAGTGGCACCGCCAGTATTTTGAAGCCATAGTATCGCGATACTAGCGTAGTACCGGTAAACCGTGCAACACTACTATAAACACTGTAAAAAATCCAGAGGTTCCACACAATACCTTCATGTAGTTCCAACACAAATCACAGTTTTTAGATATTTAAGTGGATTGAACACAAAGGAATTAAGTTGTCCTTAAAATTCTTAATAATTGTGATGTTTCCAGTTATTTGAACCAAGCAGCAAAAGTAATTTTGAGTGAAGAAAAAGTGAAAAAAAGGAAATAAAAAGTGTTTTTTTTTTACTTTCTGAGGAACATTCAGATACAGTAATTGAATAATCACATGTAAAATAATAGTGCATATAGTGTTTGTTGTATAAATAATTCAATAAAATTTATTGTTATTAAACTTACAAATGGTATAATTTCTTTTGCAGATCCTGCGATGTGACTATTGCGAATTATCACATTGCGATATCGATGCTGAAACTATATATTGTGCAGCCCTAATTTTGATTTCTTTTTTCTCACTCTGTTTATCTATTGTTTTCCTTTTTTAGTATTGCCACACAGTACCTGTGGGAGACTAGAATGTTCCATTTCTCAGATCCAGATAACTATCAGGTCACCCCGCTGCATTTGGCAGCCTCCACTGGCAATACTGACGTTGTCCGCTATCTCCTTCGAGCAAATGTAAGCCCTTTCACTTTTCTTTTTTTTTTTTAAGCAATGCTTTTAGAATAGTGCACAAGTAGGCTAAATGGTCACAAAAACACTAATGTAGACTGCTCGAAACTGCTATAAATGGCTATTTAGCTGTGTAATTTCATTGTATTGTACTTTATGTAATTTTTTTTAAGTTTACTTTGTTAGGTTAAAAAAAAGAATATTTGCTAATAATTTGCTCAAAATCCATCACATACCTTCCTCTAATCTCATCTTACTATATCAAGTTCAGCATGCATATCTGTAATAATAATAATTATAAAATAATACTTGTTTTTATAATATTCAATGGATAAACAAGTTAAATTTTAAACAATTGTATTACTACTAATATGCTAATATTATTATTGCTGTTACTAAGAATACTGGAGGACTAATCATTGTTATAACAGGTAATAATAAATTCCTCCAATCTCATCTTGGACTGAGGTACATTTACATTTAGCGTACACTTATGTCCAAAGCGAGTTACAATTGAGGAAGCTTTTTAAAATTTTTACTACAATAGGCAATACACACAAGAAGTGCTACAGTAGTTATAAAAAGTAACTTGTTTGTGCTCAGAGAATAGGTTGTTTTCAATCATGTGGTTCTGGTGACGACCGCAATTCAGATGAAGTCCGAAGATTTTTACCATATTTTAAAGGAGATATAAATAGAAAATAACCACATATGTTGGGCATGATCCTAATATCATGAAGAGAATTGAGTTTTCTACTGAACTAAAATATATTTGTGTGTCATCGAGGCAGTAGATAGTGTACTATAAAATACTATAGTAACTATAGTGTTTAGAAGCATATAGATAACTAGATAACTACTTTATTCCTTACATTTATATAGTGCTTTTATATAGTAGGACCCACACTGACTGCAAGTTGAGCGTCCCCTGCTGGCCTCACTTACACCACTTCCGGCAGCAACCTAGCTTTCCCATGTGGTCTCCCATCCTGGTACTGACCAGGTGCAACCCTTCTTAGCTTCAGTGGGCGACCATGCGAGAGTTGCAGAGAGCTCGCTGCAATTTAACTTGAATTAAACTGTCGTAGTAATTATATTGTTTCTTTGGTACAACTCTAGTAATAAATTCAACAGGCTTCAGTTTTCTACACTATATTATACACCATTACGATGTACAGTACATCAGTTTGCTATGCTACAGTATTCTGTAGCATTCATAAACAAAGAGCTGTACACATTAATCCATTTATTATGTGGTTCAAAAACATGTTTATTATAAATTACTATAGTATTTCCCCATACATCTTCCAGACATCACAAAAAAACAGATGATTCCTTTCAAAAGCATAGACGCATAGTCTACATTATTATTTATTTGTTTTTGTAAGGAGAAAAATGTGTTCCACAGTAATATCTATTTTTATTGCAAGGGTTGCATTTTTTTGTTCTGTCGATGAACTTACCATGAACAAATATTCATCACTGCTGCGCATCTTGATGTTCATGTTATGGTTGTTTATTCTGCTGAAACGCCAGTAAAGACATGGACTGTTGCAAAACAAGACAGATTTCATTGCAGCGATTGCATGGCAGGGAACGTTATTTATGTTCTCCTGGATTTTGCATGTGCGGTGGTGATGTTTCCATATAACACATTAACATGTTTATACACATAGTTAGACCTGTACAGTATAAATCAGGTCAAACTAATTATTGCATTCAAAAAAAGTTTGTGTAGAGGCTAAGCCTATTGCTTGAAGTCCCTGAGATGTTGTTAGACAGGCACCCAGCTGACGCACACTGTCCTCTGGCTGATGTAGTGTAAATGAAATGAACAGTCTTACTTGTTTCCGAAGATGTTTACGTTTATTGCAGTTGCAAACTCCAATAGTTCACAAATTTCCTTCCAGGTAAGTTTCCGTTCGTAGAAGTCAAACACTGCCACATATCGTGACTTATAAACAAAACAAACCGTCATGCTAAAGCATGAATGAATGTGTGTGGCTCTCTGTGTGAATGCGCGTGAGCGTTTATTTGTGTTTGTGGGTGTGTGTGTGAAAGTGTGTGCGTTTGAAAGTGTGTGCGTTTGAAAGTGTGTGCGTTTGAAATTGTGTGTGTTTGAAATTGTGTGTGGTCAAAACTGTATGTGCTCCCTTCCGTCTAGCAACACCTGTTACCTGAATGTTCGTTCCCACTTATAAAGCCTGTTAAAGAGCACCACCTAGTGGAACAATGAGCAAAGTTGCTAAATGGCTCCTACATCCCGGCCCCTAATTGTATACAAATGTAACAATTCCCAAATATAATATTAAGGAGCCATAAAAGAACATCAGGCAATAATAAGTGCACATACATAATACTTCAAATACACAATAACCCAGTGGAGACACTTTAATAGTAGATAAGCTAAACTGATTCTTGCAATAGGCAGAGTTTAGTCACAGGCCGTTCTATTATACTACTTTTGGTCTGAAGCCGCACTGAACGCACAATCTTTTTCTTGTCTTGAAATGCTTCCAGCACTCTTGCAAGAGGCCATGAGCTTCGTGGTGCTGTAGGATCCATAATGATCACGATATCTCCTGGTTTAAGATTTTTTCTCTGTTCGTTCCATTTCTGCCTCTCTTGCAATAATGGCAGGTATTCACGAATCCACCGTTTCCAAAAGAGATCAGATATGTACTGAACTTGCCTCCATCGCTTTCTGATGTACAGATCATGGTGTTCAAACAGCCCTGGTGGCAAAGACGGCTTACCTTTCATGAGGAGGATATGATTAGGTGTCAGGGGTTCTAGATCATTTGGATCGTCAGATAACTTGGTGATGGGGCGGTCGTTTAAGATGGCTTCAACTTCGCATATTACTGTGTGGAGTCCATCATCGTCTAATTTTTGTTGATGAAGGACTGAAGAGAGAATTCTTCTCACCATGCGAATCATACGCTCCCAAACACCACCATAGTGCGACGCTGCAGGAGGATTGAAACTCCATTTGATGCCCTTTTGTTGTAGCATTCCTCCAATATTTGTCTGGTTCAAGGTTAGGAGTGCCTCTCGGAGTTCCTTCTCTGCTCCTTTAAAATTGGTACCATTGTCAGACAGTAAATTAACAACTTGACCTCTTCTACAGACAAACCGACGTATTGCATTAATGCATGCGTCTGTATTCAACGAGTTGGCTATTTCAAGGTGGACTGCTCTACTAGACAAGCAAGTGAATATCACGCCATATCGCTTGGCAGTGCCTCGTCCTTTTTTCACCTCTATAGGACCAAAGTAGTCAACCCCAGTGTTGGTGAATGGTGGTTTGTCCGGAAGAATCCTCTCCATGGGCAAGTCTGCCATCTTCTGTAGCATCATTCGACCATTTTGTCTTCTGCAGAGACAACAGTCAGACATTATCTTTCTTACTGCCGAATTAGCACCTGTGATCCAATATTTCCTTCGTAATGTGGACAGTATGTGGTTTCGACCACTATGTCCGAGCCGTTCATGAATATTTCGCAGGAGGAGAGTAGCTATATGTTGGTCTTTGGACAAAATCAGTGGATGCTTAGCTTCCTCTGGTAGTGAACCTCTGGCTAGTCGCCCACCGACTCTTAGAAGTCCGTTATCCAAAAGTGGATCCAGTTTGTACAGAGGGCTTTGCTTACTCACAGTTCCTTTTCCAGCTGACAAGGTAGCGATTTCCTCACTAAATCGTTGCTGTTGACAAAAGCGTATAATGGCAAGCTCTGCCTCACTCATGTCTTCAATGGACAAAGTGCACCTTTCATGCACTGGAACGCTCTGCATACCCACATAAGAAGTCTTAGACTCTTTCCTCTTGTGAGACTGTTCCTGAAGCATTCTCTTATACTTAAGAAACCAAGCTACGGCTACCCTCAATCTCTTCCAATCTGAGAAATGCGCAATTAAACGAGTGGTGCTATCTGAGGAGTCAGTTACACTTACTGCGTTAACTAAAACTTCTCTTTTTATTTCCGGATCATCAATTTTGATCACCATGTCAGCTCTATCAGCTGGCCAATCCTCTTCTGACTTATACAAGAAACTTGGACCTACTATCCACCTATTGTGTTCAATGAAGTCACCCACCCTCAGACCTCTAGATGCATCATCTGCTGGGTTTTCCTTGGAACGAATGTACCGCCACTGTAAAATTGTTGTTGCTTCTCTTATAATGGTGACCCTATTAGCCAAGAACGTATGAAAACGTCTGTCTTCATTATTTATGTACTTAAGCACTGATGTGCTGTCTGTCCAGAATATTGATTCTGCCAGTGGGATTTGCAGCTCTTTTTTCAGCATCAGATCCATACGAACGGCAAGAACTGCAGCTGTTAACTCTAGACGGGGAATGGTAACAGTCTTTAAAGGTGTAACTCTGGCTTTGCCCATCACAAATGCAACATGGATGACGTTTTTGCTATTTTGGATCCTGAGATAGGTAACTGCCCCATATCCTAGTTCGCTAGCATCTGAGAAATGATGAAGCTCAGCATGTATGGCAGTTCCAAAGTCTTTGGGCTTGATGCATCTATTAATCTCAAAGTTAGACAGCATTTCCAACTCCTCTATCCATCTTGTCCAGCGGTGTAGTAGCTCTTGAGGTACCGTTTCATCCCATCCATAGTTTCTTCTGCACAATTCTTGCAGCATTATCTTTGCAGGTAGTAGAATTGGTGCCAGGAAACCAAGTGGGTCATACACTGAACTGGAGACAGATAGCATTCCACGTCTAGTACAGGACCGTTGACAAGGTGCCATTTTGAATGCAAATGTGTCCTTCTGAACACACCACTGTAATCCAAGGGCTCTTTCCATGGGAAGTTCATCTCGGTCCATGTCAAGTTCTTCCACACCCTTAGCTCTATATTCCTGTGGCATGGCTTGCAGTACATAGCAACTGTTGCTTACCCACTTTGTCAAGGTAAATCCTCCCTTTTGGCAGAGCGTGGTCAGGTGTTTGATCATTGTTACAGCTTTCTTCTCAGATTCTACAC